AAATACCTGTTAATATTTATAAATGCTGTTAGAAATATATTATAGGAATTATTCCATTATTTTTTAATAATTTTTAAGTTTCTTTATTTATTTTCAGAGAGACAGAGAATACAGGGGAGGGGTGGAGAGACAGAAGGAGACACAGAATCCCAAGCAGGCTCTGCACTGTCTGCGCAGAGCCTGATGTGGGGCTCGAACTCACCAACGGTGAGACCATGACCTGAGCTGAAGTCAGACACTCAATCGACTAAGCCACCCTGGCGCCCCAGGAATATCTTCAACTATTAATTTAAAACCCAGGAAGACTATAATTCTTACATACCAATATTTCAGAGGAATAAAATTTTAAATTTTCTTTTAAAACACCAAATACAAAAATTATTTTCTCTAATCAATTATCAAATAGTTTTTAGAGGCTACATACTAGGAAAGTCTTGAGCCTTGACACTTCCATTCTGTATGCCATTCATGGGTTCATGGTAGAGGTGTAGTGAAGGGGGACAGAAAGCGACATATGTCCAAAGAGTTAATTTTCAGGATTAGAACAAAGAAGCCAGACTTTGCACATGGGTTGCATCAGTGGGGGGAAAAGGTATAAATCTCTTACATCCCCACCTCCCTTTTCTTCATCTCCCAACCCTGTGCCGATAATCCTCCCTCCAGCTCTGCCTCTCCTCTGTGAACCTAATACAGTATTTACATTTACTGAGGAAAGAACAAGCCAGGTTTTTTTTCTCAGGGAGGTCTGTTGTAGGATTTCTAATTGTACAGAGATTTTTATGTCTGACCAAGTTTTATAATCTTGCATTGACTCTTCAGCTCTAATCAATATTGATACATCTGAATTAAAACTGTCTTCTCTTTGTATTATACTATAAAATGAATCCCTTGGAATTCCTAATCTTGTTAGATTATTTGACATAGATAAAATTTTTGCTTCCTGTGTTGACCAATTCTTTTATTTAAATAACTTCACTGAGATGTAGTTCATATAACACATAATTTGCTCATTTAAAATGTACATTCACTGTTTTTAATATATTCACAGAGCTGTGAGACTATCACAATTTATCTTGGAATGTTTTCATGTCCCCTACCAACCAACCAACAAACAAACAAACAAAAACAAAACACAAAACACAAAAACCTACTATACCCATATCTTTCATTCTCCTTCTTTATGCCTCTATTTTCTGTCTCTATAAATTTGCCTATTCGGGACATTTCATACACCATAAATAGAATTAAATTGTATATGGTCTCTTGTGATCAGCTTCTTTCATTTAAAATAATGTTTTCAAGCTTTGCTAACTCATTTTTTAAATGGGATTTGCATCATATCCACACTGTTTTCCAAATATTAAAAGAATATTTTGTATATTTATGCATGTATGTCAAATGGTTTTCCAAATTATTGCCCTTCCCAGTTCCCAGAAATCAGAAGGCTAGATAGCCTCTTCAAAATAAAAAAAACACAGTCCTCAGATTCTGCAAATTGAAAATGCAAATCCTCCAGGTAACAAAAACTAAACTCTTTGATATTAACACACTTACACCTAACTAAAATCACATTATTATACATGCACATTCACCCTCCCCCCAAAATGACCAATCTGTTTAAGGTCTCAAAATCAAAGGACTTCTTACAATTCAAAATATTAAATAACCAGTACAAAACAAGCAAATGCGTTGAACAGACGCTTCACTCAAGAAGATATATAAATGGCACATAAGCACATGGAAACATGCTCAACATCAGTAGCCTTCAGGGAAATGCAAATCAAAACCACAACAAGATTCTATTTTATATCCACGAGGATGGTTATAATAAAAAAATATTCATAGTACCAAGTGTTAACAAGAGTACAAAGAACCTCAACCCCTTTTACACTGACTGTAGAACATAAAATACAATAGCCACTTTCAAAAACAGTTTGGTAGCTACCAAAGTTAAACATATATTTCACCAAAATAGCCAGTATCCCTAGGCATATAGGTGTTTTAAACAATGATATATGTGAATACTTCTCGGTAGAAATAAAAACATATTTCTACCCAAAGACACAAATGTCCATAACAGTGACACAAATGTCCATATATTTACTCATAATATCCCCAAACTGGAAAAATCCTAATCTTCATTAACTTGTAAGTACACAAACAAAATGTGGGATGTCCATACATAGAATATACCTAATAATAAAAAAGCACAAACTACAGATATTCACACATTGGAGGAGACAGAAAAAAAAACATTCTGATATGTGGTGGAAAAAAGACAGATATAAAAGACTACATATTGTATAATACTGTCTAAATAAAATTTCTAGAAAAGGCCAAACTATGGAGACATAAAGCAGATCCATGGTTATCTGGGATTGGCCACTGGCACTGGAGTAGCTTCAGTTAAGTGCAAATGGGAGAAGGGAACTTTTGAAGGTAATGGAAGCTCTCAAAAACTAGATGTGGTGAGGGTTGCACTATATTTATATATAATAATATATATATAATAACATATATATATTATATACAATAATGTTTGTAATAAAACATTAAACTATATTTAAAATGGGTGATTTATACAGTATATAAATTATACATCAATAAAGATTTTGAAGAACACACAAATATTCATAAATGTAAAGCATTCAAACAATACCTCAATATATCCATTAATACCGTGCAGACTACCAGTGAACAGGAATTCATGACATGAAAGTTTTGCCCATTCATTCCTACACCAACAAGTTCTCAAATTGTTTGGTCCTTTGTACTCTAAAAATAATTTGTACTCTTAAAAATAATTGAGGATCTCAAACAACTGTTGTTTATGTGGATACCATTTGTCAATATTTACCATATTAGCAAATATACTCTGTCAATATTTACCATATGAGGAATTAAAATGGCAAATTAAAAACAATGTTATAGCATCACTTCCAACAATAGCTAAATTATGGCAAGAGCCTAAATGTCCATCAACTGATGAATGGACAAAGAAATTGTGGTTTATATACACAATGGAATACTACTTGGCAATGAGAAAGAATGAAATATGGCCATTTGTAGCAATGTGGATGGAACTGGAGAATGTTACGCTAAATGAAATAAGTCATACAGAGAAAGACAGATACCATATGTTTCCACTCTTATGTGGATCCTGAAAAACTTAACAGAAGACCATGGGGGAAGGGAAGGAAAAAAAAAAGTTAGAGAGGGAGGGAGGCAAACCATAAGAGACTCTTAAAAATTGAGAATAAACTGAGGGTTGATGGGGGGTGGGGGGGGGGGGAAAGTGGGTAATGGGCATTGCGGAAGGCACCTGTTGGAATGAGCACTGGGTATTGTAAGGAAACCAATTTGATAATAAATTTTATATTAAAAAAAGATTAAATAAACATTAAAAAAATTAAAAAAATTAAAAATAAATAAAAACAATGTTATAGATTCAATCTAAAATAATAACAAACCTATATGTTAACACATAAAAACAAATATGTTCAATGAAAAGTATAATTATTTTCCAAAACAAAATAAACAGAGTTGAAATCAGTGGCATTTTTTATGTTTTGCCATTCTGTTTCGTGTTTGCTTAATAGAAGACAACCATATTCTCATATCTGCTCTTGCATGCAATCTGAAGCAATGTCTCACATCACACAGCCTCTGGAAAACCCCACTGTATACTCAAGAGAGAATAAGAATGAAAAAGGCAAACAGCATCTTAGTATTATTAGGAAAGTAGTTCTGATCTCACTGACCCCCACAAAGGGTCTGGGGAATGCTTAATACAGTTACTTTAGGATTAAGATTATTGGAAAACAGGATCAGGAAACTTTCTGAAAATAATTTTCAGAGCATTTTGACCCCTACATTGTATAGACCTGACTACAACTTACTTAAAAGTAAGCAATCAAAATGAGACACATCATGCCACATCAATACTTACTTGTTGAATCTCAAATGCTGTTCTAGATTCATCAGCAAGTAAAATAAATAAGACAATACTACAGATTGTTAAAATACCTGATTGTTAGATTGTGATTTTCTTTTTTTTTTTTAAGATTATTTATTTATTTTATGAGAGAGAGAAAGAGAGGGAGAAAGAGAAACCCAAGCAGGGTCTATGCCATCAATACAGAGTCAGACTCGGGGCTCAATCCCACCAACTGCGAGATCTTGACGTGAGCAGAAATCAAGAGTCGGACTCTCAACCAACTAAGCTATGCAGATAAGTTGCCCCTACATTGTTATTTCCTAAAGCTACTATTTTAGTCATGAATTCAGAAGCTTTTGTTTTATATCCTTTCTCGTTTTCCACCATTGCTATGAGTGCGAAAGCTCTGACCTAGTTTCTGTATATGCTTGTAAAATAATAAAAAATTTTTGAATTTTTCTAAAATAAACCTCGATACCATAATCTAAAATAATCATGCTAATTTTAATATTTGAAAAATAATTATTTAGTTGTCACTTTAAAAACATGACTAAATTAAATTGAATTAGTATTTATTTCTCCTGTGCCTCACATTTAAAGAATAATATAATTGGGGCACTTGGGTGGCTCAGTTAGTTAAGCTTCTGACTCTTGGTTTAGGCTTAGGTCACGATCTCACAGTTCATGGGTTCTAGTCCTGCATTAGGCTCTGCAGTGATAGAGCGGAGCCTGCTTGAGATTCTCTCTCTCTCTCTCTCTCTCTCTTTCTGCCCCCTCCTTTCTCTCTCTCTCTCAACAAAACAAACAAACAAACAAACAAACATTAAAAAAAAAAAAAAA